ATTATATAAATAAGTCGCATATGATAGACTTTCAGGGTTCTCTACTGTCAGTAATGATAATGTCTTTTCTGGGGGCGGAGCAAATTTGTACCGAAATTCGATAACCGAATAGATTCGACTGATCGGGAAGACGATTTCTCTAAATTGTTTCATCGTCAATAGGACCTCGAATTGCTTGTTGACGTAAAAACTCATCGTAGACAATTATTGAATCCTTCGAAAACGAGATATGCGCAGACGCGAACAGTTTACGATATAACGACATTGCCTGGAATCCCGTGTCTTTTATTGCGCCTACTGCGACGATTTCGCAAAGCGGAAGAAATATCATACCTCTAGAACTAAACTACATAATAAAATTGGCAAAACCGCAGCCGTGAGATATCGGGCGGCTCGGCGCGATGTGTCCGCCGGCCATTTGGAGTCGTGTCAATTTTGAAATTGGGCCGATTTGATTTCCTCGGTTTTGCAGTTGCCCGCGGCGGGCAATGAGTTTGCGATATTTGGTAGCGAATTAATGATTTGTAATAGCTTGCTACCTCTTGCCCCACTGACGCAGTTACCGTGAGAAGTTAATAACGGCGCGCAGAAAGTGTTCGACGATTCGTTAAGCTCGACGAGATGTATTCGTTAATTAAAATTGCTCTCTCGACAGAAAACCGCTATTCGCTCAAACGATTTACTATGATAGCAGTTTGAGAATATTTTTACTTAGACATGAGTAACGATTGCAAAGAGCAAAATCTGTTTTTGTAATATTAAAACTGCTGCAGTGAAAAAAGTAATGCCTTAGATAGTACGTACTACTTTTAGTACCTTAAAAATAAAATTTAAATTCGCCCACATTCTTACGATTTAAATACCGAAAAAAATTCATATGTGCACCCCTATTCTAAAAGTTAAAATAGATATCGTTTTAGAAACTTTATTAATATTTTGCGTTTCTTATGACTTACATTTAATAAGTATTTTCTGAGAATAAATATTAAGTTTGACTTTTTTATAACAAATATGCATTTATCTCGGATTTTGATACCATTTTATATTGAGTGTTAAATTATAAAATTGTTCGCGTATTTTGTATAACAATAATTATGTAAATGACAATAATTCAACGAATTTTTTTTTTATATATTCGTCTCGATTAATTCACGCGTTACTTAAAAACTATTCGACAAATTTTAATGAAAATCTTTTTATACTTTTCCCGTGAACGCTCGCAAATACCACTGCAGGCTAGTTACACTTATTGCAAAGAAAAAGTACAGACGCGGAAAAAGAATAATATCGTGTACACCTAAACCGGATACAGCCGTGGGCGATAACTAAATATAATTTTTATGTGCATGTACCACCCTTCGCAAGTGGCCTGTGTCCGACAATAGACTGCCGCAGGCTTATGGTGACTTGCAACGAAATTATTGAATTTCTTTCAGCCGTATCATCGAAATGATAACATCTCCGGAGCGTCTTCAATGTGAAATCCTTATAACATTCTTATACAATAATAAAACATGACTGTCATTCAACGAACGGCGAACAAAAAAATGTACATCTTAGTGTAAAGACTTTGGTTATATTGAAAAGATTTCATAATAAATCAGTTTCTACGTCCACAAAAATGACGACATCGAATAAAAATTATGAGCATTTGAAACCAAATGAAGGAGTGTAATAAAAAGCGAGCTTTCACCGCCCTCAAAGGAGACTATCCTTATCCAGCGACGTATTTAATTTGGCCGAACTCTGTCGCGTCACAGCGCGCCCTGCGGGTGACGTCTTCGTGACGAAAGCTCGACTTTCACCCGGTCGTACAAGGAAGTTGTACCGCTGCCGGCTCACGGCGACGGACACATCGCCGGCTGATGTTATTTGACCTTCGTGATCTCCGAGTGAACGTGGATGCCTTCTCGATGAACCTCCCGGTTTGGATTGAGCCGATCGAGAATTTGTTTTGACACGACGAGCGTTTTTTGTATTAACTCTGTTACGACTTCATTCGTGTAAGATACGAGACGTGAGAATAGCAACGCAATTTAGCGATTCCGATTTACGAATACATAATGTGTAAAAACAGTATTATTACATTCAAATGTTAAGGAAAATATTTACTTATTACATGATATTTTAAGTACGGTCCAATCCAACACCACGTAATGTTCATCGACGACCGACCGCCACGTGTATTCAATAAGGTAAAATAAAAGCATAGTCTATATAAAGAATACTTTAGTATACTTTTCAAAATAAAAGCGTGTCATTACCTCAATAACATCTCTGAGTCCGAAGACAGGCGGTCTGCGCCTGCGCCGCCGGCGCGGCGCCGGCTCGGAGTCCCGCTCGATGCCCTCGTCGTCGGTGTCGGCGCGCCCGCCCTCCGACGTCTCCGAGCCCTCCGAGTACACGCCGCACTCCTCCTCCTCGTCTGCGACAACAGAGGAAGGGACGTTCACTGGCGTTCATATCCAAAGGATTTATAACATATTCTATCATATATGATGTTATTTCGCGGAAATTCAGTATTAGATGCTTGCCTGCGACATGCAGTAACATGCAGCGGGCAACCCAGTGCTGACCCTCGAATAGGGTTCTTCCACTACGAATCCAACCAATTGAATACTGATTCGAGAGGATTGACAGATATCGAGCACCTAAGCAAGTGTTAATTTTCTATTAATTTCAACCGCCAATTAATTAGATACAATATCTGCGTACTTTGCATGCTAATTAGACACATCTTCAGGAAAATGCAGACAGTCCCATTGACCAGGGTATCAGGAGTGTTAAAATTATCGATAGATGCGCTCCCAACCACCTCGCCTAAGGCAGTCCTGCAGTCGATGCAGACTACGTTCAAGCAGTCAAGCGTCAGATTCATAACAGTTTAAGGCCAAGTTCAAAGCGTCTTTACAATAATGATGTAAGTATAAGAAGCGATAGTTATACTGAAGTACGACCGTGAAATTATAGAAGTAATATACGCATATCGACTATATAAAAAAAATATTTTACTCTGTCTTTAATCCTTTACAGTTTGAAACGTGAAGCAGAGATACTTTCCCGTAATAAAATCTTCAGCACTTTTTATCATAGTGATGTGTTCGAATACAAAAACCCCTCGCGTCGAGACAACGATCTATAAACTTGAGGATACTTTCTCTTCCAAAATTAATTTAACGTTAGATAATCTATTTTCTTCTCTCTAGTTCAGGTTTTTAGCAATACTTTCACAAGCCGATTATCGACGTATTTGTAAGAGAAATATATATTCGTTCACACCAAAACATATTTTACATAATTTTACAACAGTTTTGTAAAATGGTCGTCGGTTACCTAAAATAGTAAATGAATGAAAGTTGTTTTAGCAGCACGTATTTTTTTTTACGTATCTGCACATATTCTTATATTTATTTTCTATATTATTATATTTTTCTAATACTGAAGTGCTAACGCAATACGAAATAAGTTGAGCTCAAACCTTTGAGTATGGAGTCAAGAGTTCAATCCAAAGGTTTGAGTATCTTTTGTAGATAGTTCGATTGCAAAGACTATGACAATAATGTAATATTATTTTTTTAGATATTTGTTTTTATATTACTTGCTAATAATATTATATTTAATGGGTGTGTCCATGTTCAACGAGTAATTTGTGGATTTATGAAAAATATTATAATAATATGACATACAAATTAAATAGAATATTACTACATATATGTTATAAACTCCTCATGTACACTATACGAAGATACTAACATCGCTAGTCTAAAATTTCGACAGTTTTTCATATTCAGAGGTAAAATTGGCATATTTAAAACGTGAAAAAAACTTAATTATCAAAAAAATACGTTCCGAATTTAATTGCCTGATTATCCTCACAGTACATTTCTTGTACAATAAAACTTCGGCTACCATACCATTCTCCAGAGGTGCTGGAGCAAAACATTTATCGTATTTCGTTAGGGCCGGTGCCGAGGAATTCCGCGGGTTCGTTTCCTCGGCGCGCAGGTATTATTGAGAGCTGTGCGCAAGTCGTGCATGGATTACGTCAATGTGCAATGCCGTGCGCAGCGCGATGCCTGATTGTGTGCCAAGTTCAAGGTGATGGATCACCTTTCGCTTGTGCAATACGTCTTTCATAAATGCAATGTACACAACTGTGCATTTTAATAGGTGATGAATTATTTTATTAGTTTACTTAAAAATTGTTGTTATCTGAATAAAAGTGTCGCGAAATTTCCTACTGCTATATAAAAACGAAGCGTTTGTGAGAACCAGTTGGCAAACACTACTGCTACTGTTACGAACCAAATTTTGGACATAATGGCTGTAGCCTTGACCGTAATGTAAAATTATATTATAGTGCTTATGCATGGGCCCGGGATCAGAAACGGAACCGGAATCCTGATAAACGCCCCCACCGAAAGCGAGACCGGGATAAGAAGCGAAATGGAAATCGATCCAAGATCAAGCTGAAACGGAAATAGAATGGAATTCATTACGTGACCCGTTTTCTTAAACGAAACTATTCGTCCATTTACGTAACGCGTTTACTTTGCATGTTATTTTGTATGCAAAAATTTGAAAACAAAGGAGCATAGAGTAAATGCGCTGATGGTGTAGTTGGTGAATACGTACGTAAATCGACCTTAAACAGGCGGGGGTACCGCAGGCAGTAGATTATAACTCGATAGAACGGTAGTTAATATTTGTAATAGTTTCTTTATTCTGTTAAATTTTCATAATTGCGTAGTGTTATCAAATTACAAGTATTACAAAAAAATATATTTGTACTCGTTAGCGTGAAATGAAAGAAAATTTTCGAACTTTTTTGTCAGACATCAGTTATTGTTATATGTTGGAGTTGTGTAAGAAATTTATTAAATCAATGCTAAGGCATATACTTCCAAAATCTTTTTTATTGTGGATCGTATTAATGTGCTTTCTAAGCCATAGAGTAAGCAATTTAATTTGACTTAAGCTAAGAATTCATCGACCAATTCGAACATAGCCAGGAATCGAATCTGGTACCTTTTGCTTCGAAGGCAAGTTCTTGACCACTCGGCTACCACTGCTATATAGTACGAATAAACGGTCTACACCTTTCTTTCCAATATAACACCGACGTCTCAATTTTAACCTCAGTTGCACTCCATTCAACAATAACAAATAAAATATTTATCTACTTAAATTGCACGATAGACATTTTTGTGATGCTGGAATTCCTAGGTTACTTATTAAGTTTTAATTTATCTAAATAATCTGATTAAATACCTATTAGAACCTTGAAACTAAAAAAAATCCGGCCAGTTCGGGAGGCGGATTTCTGCGTCCAGAGTTCCGTGCCCGTAAAAGAAATGACATGAAATTTGCATTATTCTTTATAAAATAGAAAAATAAACTAAGACAATATGAGCCTAAATATATGTTTGAATTGGAGGCACCTGTTACAGGCACTGTTACCTCAAATTCACATAAAGTACCCATACGGGCATTTGAATACTACTGATAATTGACACATATGTTAAAGTGGGACACAAATTTGGGAAGTAAATGAATTGCAAAGTATACACGTCGGAGAAGAACTCGCTTAAGAACTTTTAATGCATTTTTACTTATCCAAAGGCACCCCACACAATGGAAAGCGTTAAAAAATGTTTTTAGTACTCCACGGCATCTATGGAAAAATACTATTTTTTTTTATACCTTTACATGATTGATTCATATAAAACTGTTGCGTGTACAATTTCATCACAATCGACAAAAAAAATGGCGAGATCATAAGATTATTGCATACGTACGGACGGTCAGGACGAAATTATAAGGGTTCCTTTTATGACTTTAGCTATCGTTATCTACAAATAAGTACAACGGACACTCATTTGAAATAGAACAGCTATTTTCAAATAAAGGCCCAATCGACCTAACACAGATAACCTACTTTTGGTATATAGCTTTCATTATACATAATTTTACGTGACGTCGGACGTCACCGTGCCGACCTCGTCGGCGCGTCGCGTCGTCTGTCTGTTCGTCTCTCCGCTGCGACTATTAGCGAGACAAGTGATGGTTACGCAAGGACGATCCTGGCAAATGACACGTACATCAGTGATGTCTGTTAACGTGCTGACACGTTAATAATATAATATTACGAATGTTTTTTTTTTAGAATTTGCTTGTTTAATTCGTTATGTTATTTCACTTTTTTATAGATGTAGGTATTCCTGCGGTATTGTACGTGTTTGTGCGCATGAAATTTAACTATGTAACAAAGGATCGGAAGATATATAAATGGATTATTTATATTCCTAAGCAATTTAACAAGTACTAAGTTTTATGTTCAATGGTCTTTTAGGTCAACTCACTTACATTGTAAAAAGTGTTTTAAAAAATACGATTGTAGATAGTGTTGTAAATAACTTTATTTTAGAAAACACGTATTAAATAGTATAAATATATTAAAATAGTTTAGGCCTTGGTATCCCTTTTTCGTTTGCCAACTGCGGCCCTTTCCATTCGGATTCGACTCCCCTTGTTATCTCTCGTTAGACATTTGTCCTGGGCATTTAGTGATCTATCTAGATAAGACTACTTCAGATTCTTAATGTTGATAAAAAAATAGTTCCATAAAAGTTTAAGGAGAATTCCTCATTTCTTTGGGTATGAATCTATGTTTGGGATCTACTATCATGCTGTGATGTGATCTAAGATTTTTGTGGATCTATTTTTCTCTTCGTTCGCTAACAATATTACTCAATTTTATTTCTGCGAATGGACCTTCAAAGGAAACTTTAAGTCGCCGAAAATATGATTATCCTTTAATTTCTTAAACTGAGTATTACATCCTGCCTTCTGCTCGTCGCAACAACTTCATTTATCGTCTCCATCTGTGGAGATCATCTATTCAACGCACAAGTGTACTGCGCTTAATTGATCAACGATCGACAAGTCTTATCGTAAAATGTCATTTATGATAAAACTGTAAAATGGTGTCTTATTTATAGTACGACAATGCTGTAAATTTCTAAATGTTAAACCACACATTAAGTGTCACAGAACATAAAGCAAAATAATATTACTAAAATATTTTATTGTATGCGGTAATATTTCACGTAAATTATTATTAGACGCTTGCCTGCGACATGCACTAACATGCAGCATACAAGGATTTCTGTCAATCCTCTTGAATCAATATTCAATTCGTTGCATTAGTATGCGCGGTGAAAGAACAGATTCGAGGGTCAGCGTGGAATGCATATGCACGTTGCAAACAAACGTCTAATAGTACTATAGTTTAGTACATTCTCGTAGATATTCTCAACGAATTCCACTAGGATGATTGAACGACATAAAACTCCATTGACAGTATTTTATTCGGAATTCATTATATCTTTTGAAACAAATCCCATCAATCAATATCAGCGGCTAATGCGGGCTTAAATACATTTATGAAACTAATAACTAGGCAATTAGCGCGCCCCGGCCTCCGTAAACACGACGCAAAACCAGACGTCGGTACAGGCCATAAAGCTTAACAATAGGTGACTTATGGCGCCGATCGCAGCACATCCCAAAGTCGCGTCCCTAAATAAGTATATTATAGTTTTACTGCCGAGTTAATGGGTTTACAGCCCGAGATGTGGTAGTTTATAGCTTAATGGCTTAAATTGGGCTTTTTTTTTAGAAAACCACTGGACGAAGAAATAACCAAAACTATTAAACTGTAAAACGGAGTTACAGATAACGGAATCGAGTCGTATCGATTAGTATGAAATGGTGAAGTTTGATTAAGCAATCTATATTATGTGTATATCGGTAAAAAATGTTTTAGTATACTGGTTAATAAAAATATTATTGTTCAGTTTCGATTCAAGTAAATGTTTTCGGATAAATTTCGGATAATTCAACAAGATATTATAATATATATTGTGGGTTGGTCATAAGCGCAATCAAGAGACAATGTCCTATAAATACAAACATTTTTGTCTCATATTTCTGTAGCAACATTTATTTAACGAGAATAGAGAACCAAAAAAAAGTGTTTTTTTCAGAAAAACAGGACCAATAAAATTTTTTTAAATGTATTACAGATCACAGTTTTTTTTATCATTATAAATAACGTACTTCTGGTGATTGTTACGTCATCTTAAGAGATTTTTAAAAAGTTTTTTTTCTAAGCAAACTCTCATGTCGCGGAACCGGCACAGATGAGCCTACGCGGGCGACGTGATGACGTGCCGACAGATGCCCGTAATCAATCTTACTTATTCGACCACGTCGATAGGCCACATGCGTGCAATGAGAGCCCTACTAATGACGTAATCCTTCTTATATGTATCGACGAAGAGTTTTTCCTCTCTCCTAGAGTGTGATATGATATATTACTTGATGTGTACTAATTTCTCTAATAACTACAAATCAATTTCTTTTTTTAAATTAACAAATAATTTTAACGCTAAATGATTACTCGAAACTATAAAAATAAATACAATTCAAACAAATGCATTGAACTCTTTATTAAAACGATTAATTTATTTAAATAATCGTATACTCAATTACTCATTTGCCCACCGTTGTTTTTCTTAAAAGCGTAATCATGTTTTCTTTTTAATATTACAATATAAAACAGACATTTATTTATACTAATGAGTTACTAAATAAAGAATTTTGATAAAAAATGAATTCTTTTTAAAAACCTTTAAAGAATGTCACACACTATAATTGTAAAATGACTTTATACTCGTAAGACTACGAACCTTACATGTAAGACCCGTTTATGACAGTACAGCATAATTATTAACTTGGCGCCGTGGAGTGTCGAGCTCGCGCAGCTCCACCGCCTCCGTGGTCGTACCTTATTATTTTAGATTAGTGACACTCCGTCGTGACGGGACTTCACCCGCCCGCTGCAGACCTATTTATATTTCAGATCGATGAGCTTGGATAAGCTCTTCGCGCTGATCCAATGCGTGTCGAAAACCACTATTATTAAACTACTAACGTTATCAACAAAACTCAATATGGGACAGCGCTCATCGAACAGCACGCATACAATCCGATAAAGGTTACGATCCGTGAATAATAACACATTAGAGGACAAACTTGAAATCTGACGAAACACATACGTATAACAACCGACCTCGGCTAAACAAATACTGAAAAATATTAATTTGGAAAACATTGTAAAGTAAATGCTTACAAACAAAAAACTATCACCGACGTGACTAATAAACAAAACGGTTACGTTCACAAAGCGACACGAGCTCGGGATATCGTGCATGGGTAAACCGTTGGTGCATTGTGTTCTGAAGTTGGCTGAGATGGATTCCCATGGCGTTAACGGGTAGTCCGACAAAAAAAAATGTACATTGTATTAAAAAATTGTGGGACTCGGTATTGTATAAGAGGATATTACAGCTTTGTACATTTTAAAATAGAAGCATATTAGTGAGACCTTGTTTATCTTATGAATGTCTCGTCATGTCATGGAGAATTTCTTATAACTTTTGCCGAAACTACTGAAAATTCTATGCATAGAGTTATTAAACTAGATTTCCCGAGTCTCGGCCAGAGTTCCATTGTCTGTCTTCTACGTAATAGAAGACAAATGCTATCTATTTTCGTATTGGCAATTATTAATCTGTTTATTTGAAAATAATTGAAAATGCTGTTCAAAACCACATATTTTTTTCACACTTTTGCCATACATGACATAAATATACACGAAATATACAAAAAATGTTACTACTTATTTTCAAAATTAAAGTATACAATTAAATAATAAGTCTTCGCTAGTTAAGCACATTTTTTATCCAATTTAAACCATCAATTGTGGGATTATTTAACTGATATTGCCTAGAATATTTTTCCGCACACACATTATTGTTTTTTTCACCGCGAATATCAAAGAGCCCTCATGCATCGGTTAATATGATGCTGTTATCTAATTATTGCACTAATTCAAATCAAGTTTTAATACACTATGAACACAAGATAGTCATCCAAATCGATAAAATTTTCAAGGTGTTGAAATGTCCTAGATACAACCGAATTAGTTTGGCGCCTAGGCATTGTCG